AAAGGGGTTTTTTTTCCTGTATAGCCCGTCTGGGTACATGGTTTGTGGCAAGGTCAGAAGCCCCATGGATTTTCCCCCACCCTGTGATCCCTAAGCACCTGCGGTGTGGGTTTGCCTATTAAAAAAAATTTCCTAAGGAAAAAAAGGCCGGGGGCGGCAGCTTCACTAGCTGAGGGTGGTGCTGTTTGCACCCTGCGCCTGTGCTGGAAAATAAAACCTCATACTTTTGCATCAAGTCTCTGGACTCTGAGGTCTTTTTCGAGCGGCCGTTCTCTCCCCACACGGGCTGTACATTTCTGCAGCCTAACACCACCCCACGGGAAAACACCCTAGGCCTCCCTGGGACGAAGACGAGGACACACCAGTGGCTTTCTGGTCCTGGCGTCTGCGCAGGAAAAGCAGCCCCAGCGCTGGTGCAGGGTCCCACGCTGGCACCGACCCTCGGGCCCCGCCCTGCACTGCGGGCGTCCTTTGCGCGTGGGATGAGAGCGGTGTCTCGGCTACAGCGTGCAGGCGCCCTGGACTCTCCAGAAGAGGTGGTCCGGGCTGTCTCCGGGTGTGGCCCGGGGACAAACCCGCCGGCGGAGACGCCGCAGTGGGGAGATGGGCAAGTAGTGGGCGACGGCGTCTTCTCCCCGCTCATTCCTTCCGGGACCCCAGGACTAACTCACAGATGGGCCCGGGCGCTGCGGCCGTGACAAGCAGCGTCAGGCGTGCGCTGGAGTTAAGCGAAAGAGGAAACGCAGGCGTTGGAAATTTCTGTGCGACATGGGCAGGGAAGGCCGTGAGGACGCGGTGAGCTCCGGTTTGTGGGCGGCGCGGGGCACTGGGCCAGACCAGGACGGGCCCTGCGTAAGACTGAAAGTGGAGGACCAGGAAGGTCCACCAGGCCGGTCTCTTAACTACGGCGTTTCCCGGCACGGCCCTCTGCCCTCACCTGGCACGGAGAGCGTGCTGAAGCGGCCGCACGCGACCCTCTTGCGCGTCATTCCGGTCCCTGCTCCTGCTCAAGCTGCCTGACAAGCACCGCCTGCGCCACGCCCGCGGCGGGCTCTATTTTCCGGGTGCTGCCTGATTCAGGAGTTGCTGACAAAAGACCATTGGATCCTTTAAACACCGGATATGTGGTTTTCCCGTCATCCGAGGACCCCTTAAGTTGAGAGAACTTAAATCTCCAGAGCACGTTCTGTAAAGAAATGAAATTAGTGACTTGTAGACAAAAGATCGTTTAGTTAATCAGCACCTATCACTACCCTGTTTCCCTGAAAACAAGACCTGCCCATAAAATGAGCCCTAGCAGGATTCCTAAGCATTTGTGCAATAGAAGCCCTGCCCCGAAAATAAGCCCTAGTGGCGGGCGTGGCTACGCAGCGCATCTGCACAACCCATGCATGTCGTCGCGGAGCGGGAAAGGAGAGGGGCAGCCCTTCTCATCTGCCCCGTGAGAGCTCTATGGCTCGACATGAGAGATTGGGGCCGATGGTTCTGAAGGAAATAGAGTCGCAAGAAATTCAGGATGGAATTCGGGGTTCTGGAGAGTGATGATGATGTTCCAGAAGAAGACAACTTCACTATATTTGAATCAATGTAGATTGTTGTGCCGTACTTAAAAAACATAACACATCCCTTGAAAATAAGCCCTAGTGTGTCTTCTTGAGGGAAAATAAATATAAGACCCTGCCTTATTTTCAGGGAAACATGGTACCTTAAACAGCCTATTCGAATCAACACAGACATTTGCTGGATTTTCTCATCTGCCTTTAGCCTGTGACAACACGTCAGGGCCTTTGCCCTCTCACTCTGCCACCTGCACAGAGGGACCTCGGGCCCCCCTGGCTCTCTTCTGTCCCCAGCCCAGCCCTCATGAGCCGTCCCTGGTGTCCCTGCGACTGTCTTAACACATCAGTGCCACGTCTTCAATCCCACCTCTGCCCTACGGCCCTCTCAGGTTTTCTCACGGGGTTCCCTGTACGTCCCTAAAAGCATCCTACGATCATTGCTCCTTTTTCTGGTTGGAGAACTTTTAAACATCCACTGCAAGGCTCAGTTCTTCCTGTAGGCACATAGCGGAAAGTGCGGACGAAATGAAAACCTCTAGTCCTGACCCATACCCCCGTCCACGGCTACGTGCAAGTCGCTGAACCTTGGTTTCTCACGAACCCACTTGAAAAATGTAGATAATACTACCTTTAATATTGCAAAAGTTACTTACTGTTTGCACTTTAGAGATGAAATGTGCTCTATAAATTCTTAATAAAAAAGGCTGCAGCAAATAGAAACGTCTCTTATAAAGGATCGTTTTATAAACGTCTCTTATAAAGGACCTTATAAAGGCTGTCTCTTATAAAGGATCGTTTTTAATTATAGACACTTCATTATGACAAACCTTTGTCCTCCCAGAAAAATCCCAATAGGAAACAGCAGTAACTTCTTTTAGCAAACTGTACATTCCATTTCTATTAAAAATGTTTATTTTGAAGCAATGGACATACTTTTCTCTGCATGTCAGGGCAGGCAAGGAGGCTGCAAGAACGGGGTGTGGGGGGTGTTGCTGGGCCCCTGCCTGCCCATCCGAGAACCCCCGTCTTGTTGCTGCCCGGCGCTGCCTGCCTGGCTCGTGGTTCTCTCCCACTGACCTGGGAGCTGAGTTGACTCTCTGCACTTCCTGCCAAGGTGTCAAACACAGGGTTCCTCTGGATTTGGGGACATTCGGGACTCTGCAGGGCCTTAGGGGACAACCACCCCGGCCTGCCTGTGCACAGGGAGGAATCTGAGCCCAGCCCCGGGGCAGAGTCCAGGCGCCCGGTGCGTGGAGGATTGGAAATGTCAGCGTCTGTCCACGCGAGGGCGTCCGGAACGCGCCCTCAGTTGCCCCTGCCTGCGGTTCTGGGCTCCAGAGGTGAAGCGCACCTGTGAATTCTTGTTACTAGCAGAAAAGAGCATGTGAGCCCCTGGGACGTTGAAGTAGCCGAGGAAACACTCAGCATGGCCGGCCTGGGGCAGCCTCCCCAAAGTCGCTCCGCCCGCCCCGCTGCCCTCCAGATCCACGCGCGAGTCCACCCCCGGCATCGCCCAGCGCGTCTCCGGGGCCGGGGAAGGCGGCTGTGGTTTCAGCCGCTTAGACTCAGCTGAATCTCGTCTGCCTTCAGCGTGACCTGTTATCGCACCTTCACGTGGGGAGCTTGTGGTCAGAGGCAGGTGTGGTCAGGAGGCACAGAAATCTCAGAAGACAGGGTTTCCCCTGATTGCTCACAGAGTAAGCCACGCCCAGACGAGGGAAGAGCCCTGAGCGGGACCAGGGCGCCGTTCGCCCACCCGGTGACCTCAGGGCCGACGGTGCGGCCTGGGTGCCGGACGGCACCGGGAATCCCTTCTTAGCATGAAACTCCTGTGCAAGAATGTCTCATCACTGTGACGGACGCCCCGTGCAGCCCACCGGGAAAACACCCTAGCAGCCTCCCCGGGACGGGAACGAGGACCACAGTGGCTTTCTGGTCCTGGTGTTCTGCGCAGGAAGCAGCCCCGGCGCTGGTGCAGGGTCCCCACGCTGGACGCCGACCCTCGGGCCCCGCCCTGCACCGCGGGCGTCCTTTGCGCGTGGGATGAGAGTGGTGTCTCGGCTACAGCAGGCAGGCGCCCTGGACTCTCCAGAAAGAGGCGTCTGGGTGTCTCCGGGTGTGGCCCGGGGGCAAACCCGCCCGGCGGAGACGCCGCAGCGGGGAGATGGGCAAGTAGTGGGCAACGGCGTCTTCTCGCCTCGCTCATTCCTTCCGGGACCCCAGGACTAACTCACAGATGGGCCCCGTGCGCTGCGCCGTGACAAGCAGCGTCAGGCGTGCGCTGAGTTAAGCGAAAGAGGAAACGCAGGCGTTGGAAATTTCTGTGCACATGGCAGGGAAGGCCGTAAGGACGCGGTGAGCTCGGTTTGTGGGCGGCCGGGGCACTGGGCCAGACCAGGACGGGCCCTGCGCTACAGACTGAACGTGAGGACCAGGAAGGTCCCACCAGGCCGGTCTTCTTAACTACAGGCGTTTCCCGGCACGGCCCCTCTGCCCTCACCTGGCACGGAGAGTGCGCTGAAGCGGCCGCACGCGACCCCTCTGCGCGTCATTCTGGTCCCTGCTCCTGCTCAAGCTGCCTGACAAGCACCACCTGCTCTGCCACGCCCAGCGGGGGCTCTGTTTTCGGGGTGCTGCCTGATTCAGGAGTTGCTGACAAAAGACCATTGGATCTTTAAACCCGGTATGTTGAGATTCTGTTTTTTTTTTTTTATCAGTGGTATTTGTGACCCCAATACTCTCCCATCCCTCCCATTCTGAATTAGCCCAGAGAGTGGATGCTTTAAACGCTCGTATGGCGAAGTGCCGGTCCCGTCTCTGCAAAGCACCTGGCGACCTGCAGTCAGGGGCCCAGGTGGGCGCTGGGGGGGGGGTCAGATCCCGCCTCTAATGACAGTTTATCAGACAGTTGCAAACTCCACCAGCGGGGCCTGTTCGTCACCAAAACTGCTCGAGTTTTAAGCGCAATTGTTGACATTTCTTTTCAGCCCGGGGGTGGGGTGGGGGGGACACAGCTCAGGCCGCACTCCCCTCCCCCGGCTGCCCCCTCCCCCGAGGGGATCCTGTCGCCCGGCACCGTCCAGGCTGTGAAAATCCCAGAAGCCGGAGGTGTCAGAAGGGGACAGACCCTGAAGGCACAGCCTGTACCCCGAGCACCACCCTTCAGAGCTGGTGGCTGCTGGGGGGCATTTTTTACAGCGTTGACATCCAGGAGACATAATCGGCGCGCATTGCCATGGGAACATCCCGCCCTGAGGGCGTCTTACCTGCGTCTTGCTGTCGGAGCACGTGAAGCCCACGGCAAGATCCACCGTGAAGCGCAGCGCCTCTCCCTGCCAGCGGCACGTGTAGGTTCTGGACTAGAAAAGAAGTGTTCACCGTGAGAGAACGGTCTCAAACAGTGCTGTTTAACTTTATTTAGGCAATTGCGATATTAACCTCCCCCCCTTTGCACAAAATTTTTCATAGAAAGTCCTAACGTGCAAATGACGTGTACTGGAACGGGAGGACCCGTGGTCACACGGGACCTGCACAAGCGTTTTCTACAGTCTCTAGGCAAACATTTCCGCCTTTGCGAGAGTTAGAAGTCTTTGCAGGTATCTTATCGTTCCAATCAAAACCAAATGCGCGGAACAGAGCCCCCACATGTCCCTTCCCCAGAGTGTCTTTGAAAACACGCTAGATCACAGGGCTTTCTCTTTGCTAACTTTCTGTGCCTGTCGTGCAACATGTTCGTTTTTCTTTTGCTCACACAGTGGGACCAAACTGGAGCTGGAGCCCGTTCTTCTAAGTGAAGTATCCCAAGAATGGGAAAACAAGCACTGCACGGACTCGATACTAAAGTGGAACTAACCGATCAACACCCCAGTGCACAAAAGAAAGTCAGACTCAGTGGAAATCAAGCAGGTGGGAGGGGCGGAGGAGCTGGGTAAATCCACACCTGATGGGCACAGTGCACATGACTGGAAGACGGCGCCGCTTTTTATGTTCCCGTGGCCATGCCACGTAAGCCCTCGTGCCCTACGGGACATCTCAGCTGCAGCCCGAGGGCCGGAACGATGGGCTCCCTGGTCAGTGCTCAAGCGGCTCCCCCGGCCGTGCTGTTCGGCGAGGATTTTGAGGGCTGCCTGTGAGGACGGCGCTGTTCGTAGTTTCCTCACCAGTCCACAACCAAGGGCGCGCCACTGCCTGAATCTGCCACGTGGCCCCGGCGGCTGGTCGGGCGCAGCGGCTGATCTCCACGCCGCACCCCAGCGTGCCCCTGCTGCCAGCGGGGACCGGACTCTGTGAACAAAGGCGAGCGCTCAAAGTCCCCAGCCTCCCCTCGAGCAAGGCGCCTGGGGACTGCGAGAGCCGGCCACAGCCTCGGAGGTGAGGGGCTGGCAGGGACGGGCCACCGGGTCACCGTCCCCTGTGCTCGCCGGGCGGCAACGTCTAGCTCATCAGCGGTTCCAGAGCCACGGGCAGCACCGGGTCCCACCCTAACGTGTGGCCCGTCTCCAAAGAAACTGCACGGTCACTACAAGGTTCCCTAAGTTTGAAGTCTTGGCGGGGCTCCGCTGTGTGCAGAGCAATGACTCCTTCAGTGGGGCGGAGGGACGGGGCGGGTGAGCTTCAGCCCTGACCACTCAGCGTGCAAAGCTCAGAGGCAGCTCAGATGTGCTCTTTCCGAACACGCATGTGCCTCCGAACACTCATGTGCCTCCAAACACTCGTGTGCCTCCGAACATTCGTGTGCCTCTGGGACCCACATCTGCGAGCCCAGACCTATGTTCCGGGCTCGGGAAGGCTGTGTCCGTGGGGAGGTGCGAGCCCTGCTCCACAGGAGGGGAGAGACCACGTCCAAAGTGTGCAAGCCCGGACAGCAGCAGGAGCAGGTGACATTTTGGACCAGTTCTCTTCCGAGCAAGCAGCTGGCTTCCTAGAACCTAGCACACAGCCACCATGCAGTGAGTAAGTGCTTGAGTTGCGTGACTGGCACACGTAACTGGACGTTGCAGTCGGACACAAATGTCACTCGCAAGATATGATATGGATACAGTGCATACTTGGTGGACTTGCTGACGAGGTTGACATTAACTTTAGTTTTCTACTTGTTCTGTAAAAGACGTATTTTTAAGTGAAACTGTAAACGGTAAAACCAGTCTGGCTTTGCTTCACTCAGGGAATAGGTGGCATTCTTTTCTAGAGCTCCACACACGAACCTTAAAAACACTTGCTTTGGGGTCTACAGCACATGGAAATACATGGTAATGATAAACACATTTTAGGCTGTTTTGCAGTTTTGGGGGGTGCCTGGTCTGTGCAGGGATACGTCTGAGACCCTGAGGCCCCGGTGGAAACCTGCAGCAGGACCCTTCCCCGCCCCCACCGTGGAGCCTGGGCCCCGGGGAACACCCGGACATGTGTGCTCAGACACACGCCCGGCCCCTTGGCCGTGGGCGCCCACCGGCACCCTCCGGAATCAGACGGTTAAGGCTGGAGAGAGGAGACTCCAAAACGGAGCAATTAATAAAAGCTAATGTGGCTGTGCTCTCCTGTGATGGGAATGTTAATTGAGAATTGGATTAAGCCCTGAGACAAACCGAGGAGCAGAAATAGAAACATCACTCCGCAGTGCGCTCGGTTCCAATCTAATTAAATTGAGCCAAACGGCTTGTAGGGAAATAAATTGCTGCAACTGAAAACACACGGCGGTGTCTCCCTGGGACACGCGTGGAGGGGCTCGTCCGTACCGAGACCAACGGTAAACACCATCCTTCACGTCACACTTTGCTCCCTGCGGAGACTTCTCTACCATGGAGGAAACTCAATTCAGAGCTTTAAAACAAAATTTCCACCCAGAGCACGGCTCCAATGTCTAGCTCTCTTCCTCGCCAACGGATCTTTCTGCATTTAAATGGCATTTAACTGTGCGATCCCCAGAGAGCTACCCAGGCCTGGGCATCACTTCCATGCATGGAACACCCACACGCGGTCACTACCTTTCTGCGTGGGCAGAGGAAGACACGACAACAGCGCACCTGTCTGGCGGTGCACGAGCCACACAGGAGAGTGACCAGCACACGGAGATTGTGGAAGACACGGGACGGCCGCGCCACACGCGGACTGCGGGGAGGCAGGAGTCCAGCCCGGCCGGGGCCCGGGGCGCAGGGCAGAACCTCAGTGACAGGCAGTGCGCTAGGGACAGGCCGTCCCCAGAGCAGCTTGGCGGGCCTGGGCAAGGGGAGCCTGGAGCTCCTGGCACCGTCCTGGGCGGCCTTGGACACAGCGTGGTCAGGGACACAGCGCCTCATGCCGTGACGCCACATCTGTGCCGCTGACAGATTCATTCACAGTCGAGGAACAGACAAGAGACACGCAGCCACTGAAGGGCTCCAGGACGCCCTGCAGCACGGATGTGCACACAGCCCGTGTGTCCAGGGAGGGCTCCATGTTGGTCCGCACAGGCAAAGCGGGGGGACGCCCAGGCCCAGAGGGGTCCGGGGGTGACAGCAGAGCAAGGAGCAGCCAGCTAAGGATGGCTCTGGAGTGTGGCCACAACCTAGCTCTGAGTGTGGCTGGAAGGCTCAGGATTTGGGGGCCGCAGCGAGGGGGCCGCAGTGAGGGGGCCTCACACCCACCTGCCTTCCTCCTGGGGGGGCAGCCTGCCCACTGGGGGATGGGGGGTCAAAGGCCGCCCTGGGGTGCCGGGGGGACGGCTGCAGCCCGGGTGTCCTTCTAGTTCACCCACCAGCCTTCTGGGGCCAGTTCTGTCTTGACATCTGTCTCTTGTGTCTCTTGATTATATTTTATTTGTTATTTATTTATTTTTTTGAGGCAGTCTTGCTTTGTTACCCAGGCTAGAGTGAGTGCCATGGCGTCAGCCTGGGTCACAGCAACCTCAAACTCCTGGGCTCAAGTCATCCTCCTGCCTCAGCCTCCCGAGTAGCTGGGACTACAGGCATGTGCCACCAAGCCCAGCTAATTTTTTTTTCTATATGTATTAGTTGGCCAATTAATTTCTTTCTATTTATAGTAGAGACGGGGGTCTCGCTCTTGCTCAGGCTGGTTTCGAACTCCTTACCTCGAGCAATGCGCCCGACTCAGCCTCCCAGAGTGCTAGGATTACAGGCGTGAGCCACCTCGCCCGGCCTTGATTATATTTTAAACTTAATTAGAAAGTAGATGCACAAGTTCTTGCATGAAAGGGCGTCCGGCCGAGCACAGGGAGGTCGGTTTGCTTTATAAGCCAGCACGCTGATGCCACCAGGAAACGCCGGTGTCGGAGCGTGACTCTGCCAATGGTCTCACTAACGAGAAACCAACATCCTTATGGAGCAGGGACCGAGCAAGGACACGCAGGAGCCTGGCACAGGGTGGAGGATACCGGAGTGAGAGACTCGCCGCACACCGACGAGAACCACCCGCCGTGACGCTGGGCAGGATGTGCAGACAAGGACACCGGGTTCCCTCGTTGGCAGAGTCTCCGAGGATTGTAATTAAACGCATCCAGCACTGATGCCGGGGAGCCCAGCCTGAAGCCGGACGTTCTAAACACGTGGGCATGTTTTTGCTTCAAGCCCAGGCAGCAGCACGCTCTTGATCAACAACGTTTCCAGCTGAGAGGGTTTAGGTGAGTTTATGAACAACAAATGAAAACTAGCTTCCAAAGGAAGATGGTAAGGACACACTCAGTGATGCACACTGTCACACTGGGAGCGGATGGAATGGCTTCGCTTGGACGTACCTCGGGCTCATGCACGCCGTCTCGTTACAGGTGCATACTGATATATGCAATGTAGAGTATTTATATCCCTGCAGAATGGAATCACATGCTCGTTTCTGCTGAAAGGACCAAGGGAAGGACGTCTGTTGCAGTCACATCAAATCCAGCGATTGAGTTGGGCCTGCGTCCATACGTACTAATATTTATTATACTTTCAGTAGCCTGAGAACAGGCAGAGACTATCTCTGCCTGGACGTTCTCATGCACACCGGATTTCAGAGTTTACAGTTGCTTTTCTCACAGAAACGACATTAGAAGTGGAAGCAAAGTCACCCACCCTGATATGGGATGGACGAAGGGCCAGCTAGACGTGGCTCTGCCTTGCGTGCCCCTGCCCGCGAGCCGTGAACAGAGCCTGAGCAAGTCAGTTCGCAGAGCAGGTCTGGGCGTGGGGGCCGGGAGGTGCTCTGGTCCGCATCTGCTATCTCTGGTCTTCTGGGCAGAATTATGCGGCCCATTAGAATCCGAGGCCAATCTGCATTTTAACGAAATAATTTTCCTTGAGGTCCAAGGTCTTCCTGAAACTGCTAATTTTCCTTCTCTACAAATCTATAAAGGGAAAGCTACCGAATAAGCTGCCAACAGTGGCCT